TAGAGTCCGGAGTTTGCAGAGTCCAGAGCCTGGTGAGGGTTGCGTACGGACGCCCGGCTGGTATTGAAGCTCGCTCTACCTGGGGTGTTGGCTCTCCATCCTATTGACGCACGGTAAGGGCTGGATACTATTCTAAGAGCTTGATACACTGATATTTGCTTGTTTGACATATTCTGTGGCGCTAATAAACGTGCAATTTGTTAGTAGCAGATTTGTCTCTTGTGCTATTGAATGATTGTGTGACATATTCTGTGGCGCTAATAAACGTGCAATTTGTTAGTAGCAGATTTCTCTCGTGTTTCATTTCTGAGTGCCTATCTCCAACGAACCTATTCTAAATTTGATACTGAGCCAGGGCGAGGTATCAGAAATGTTTTAAAACAGAGGAGTAGCTGGAAAAGGTGGTGGGCAGGGTGCGGGGGTTCCAGTAGGATTTTCCGTGCCCTTGTCTTGGTTCTTGCGGTGTGCAAGTCCTCAAGAGTGGGTAGGGCGGTGCCAGTGATTTTTTCCGCCGTCCTAACTGTCCGTTATTGTGCAATAATCTAATTGTAACATGTATTTGTTACATATTTTGATGCATTTTTATGCTTTAGGAAACATTTATGTCTGAATGGGGGGTGAGGGGCTTGGAGCGGATTAGGGCATTTATATGGAAAGCACGTCTTTTCTGACAAAATTTTCTCGTTAAGAAATTTCTTCCAGAACCAATTCATTTCGTAAGTAGAGGTACCACTGTACAAATAAGCTTGCCTTTGCTTGCCTTTCCTTGGACCCCTTTTGTTCAGTCTGTGTATGTTACCTTTGGATCAAATACTTCAGAACGCCAATGTCGGCTACCATGGGTATACAGATGACACACAGCTATATTTATCAATGTATCCAAATGACAACACTCCAATTAACGTGTTGTGTAACTGTCGAGAGCAAATTAACAACTGGATGCACCAAAATTTCCTTCTGCCAAAACAAAACAAACAGACCTAAGTGTGGTTGGCACTAAAGAAAAGACATTTGCTGTTCAAAAACACCTGGAGTCACTGTGTTTTAAAATTTGTGACCCGTTTCCCACCTTGCCGGTTATGAGGTGAAATGGGGAATGGCAAGGTAAATATTTCCCACACTTGTCACACTGGTGTGTCAAATTTGTCAAAATTCCACATGAGGATCCTGGCTACCAAGCATTCAAGTCCACATGGGGGAAAAAAACCCAAAACATTTGTATGCAATTTGCAAAGTTATCCCACAACCCCTATACAGCCAGTGCTGTATATGATTGGTTACAGTCTAATCACAACATTGCTTCCAGCCAATGACGCTTTGTTTACATCTGCTGGCTGCGGCGTGCTGGCAGGAGTCGGCGAATTACCACTCCCGTTGGGATCGCAGAATGAATGAAAATGCAAATATTGTGTCGGTTTCTGCAGCAAAAACAAACTATATTGCTCCAGATGGACAGACCCTCCCACGCCCTCCAGGCCACCCTGACAGCACTGGGCAGCTCCTTCAGCCAGAGACTGATACACCCGCGCTGCAAGAAGGAGAGGTACCACCGCTCGTTCCTGCCAACTGCTGTCAGGCTAATGAATAGACGGACCTGAAAACCTGGACTCACCCCCACTAACCCATTTTTAATATGCTTATATTTATATTTTATATTTATAGTTATTTTTATACTTTTTGTTCTTCAACTTTCTCCCTTTCGTAATTTTGCTGCTGTAAATTGGGAATTTCTCCATTGTGAGACAAATAAAGGTTTTCTGATGTTATCTATAAAACAACTTTGAATTACACCCTTCCTGTGATGGAAAAAAATGCAAGGGATGACATGGCGATTGAACTATTTAATTGGGATACAAACACTCAAATCATATCTTAGTGCTTTTGTAAGTTCCCTAGCTTTGAAACATCAAGGAAAACATGATGTTTTTCCTTCAAGTACGAGCAAACAAGGATAGTCAAACGCATTCACGAGCAGGAAGTCAGACGTGGTCGCTGAGGGACCAAAGTACTGAAGAACACAGGTACATGTTTTTTTCTAACGTTTCATTTCATTATATCTGTAACCTGGACACATTTCCTCCACATACTGTAAACTCATCCCTGATGTATGTTACGTAATCCCACAATGCACACTGACTGTTGTCTACGTGGTAGTGAGATAGTGTGTGTGTGGCATACTGCAGTTGAACGGAGTAATGCAGTAATCATGACATCACGTCATTATTATTCTATGTATTGTACTAAAATCGTATGTTACACTTAAGATGTATGTGGTATATAAATATGTAGCATAAAAATGCATCAAAATATGTAACAAATACATGTTACAAGTATGTGGTAAGTATTGGAGTCAATACCTGGGTACAGATTATTATATTGCATTATTACAATCTGTAATGGTATCATAAATATCTATTGTTCAACTTGGCAATGGTTCTCAAACTTTCTCAAAAACGCCTAAAATGTCAATCTGCAAGTACCACCACTGGACCAACATCATAATGCATGATCAAAGTGGGCTCAAGTGTTCTTAAAAACAAGGCAGAGGTTTTATTCCTCAAACACACTTGTATTTATTAGTGTAAACAACTGCAACATTATGCACAATTTAAACATTGTGCATGAATGTATGAAAATAAAAAGTAATAATTACATTGAAATGAAAATGTTCAGTGAAAATCATTCTCCAATAAATAAACATTTCTTAAACATTAAAGACCTTGTATAGTCATTTGTGTGTGTTTTTTTAAAAACGTGAAATATTTAGGTATAATAAGACAAACTCAGTACTGAATTGCTGTAATATTGCGTAAAACTCTTTCACCCTCTCTGTTGTCCCGATTTTTGGGCACCGGGGATCAACGGGGAGGAGCTGATGCAACAAAGGAACAGCATTGAGTCGCCCGTCCTCGCTAGAAAAGTGCCCTAATTACATCTGTGGTGATTCAGCGCAATTGCCACTTCCTGATTGATATCAACTTTGCCCATTTCTTTGCACTACAACATGCAGTTAGCAATCAAGCTATGCCGACAACCTGAAAAAAAAAAAAAAAAAACCATCTTCCCTAAAGTCTTCCGTGTTTTGTGTTCTTTGGGCTGCAGTGTCTCTGCCGTGGGGCGGCACGGTGGGCGACTGGTTAGCGCATTCGCTTCACAGCGCGGAGGTCATGGATTTGATTCCAGGCCCCCGGCCTTCCTGTGTGCAGTTCAGATAATGGATAGGGGATAATAGACGTCTCTGCCGCATGCATGAGCGGTGCACGGAGCAAATTAATCCATTTTTCTTCACGAGGGTCACAGTTGTGCAGTTCGCAGGGGACACCCTGAACTTGATGATAGCCAATCACAGAGATACACCTATTTAATCAATCAAGTTGTCTCCTCCGCAATCCAACTACATCGATTCGGCACTGGATTTATGCACATCGATGCCACACGTCGATGCAACATCATTTTTATAAGTTATTGAGTGATTGAATCGATATAATTCAGCATTTTATATTCTAAATTCCCAATGCCCTTTTATTCTTTTTATTCAGGTTTCGATGTTATTTTAAAGAAACTTATATTTGTTTTTCGCTCGTGCACATCATCTCAGGTCGGTGCCGAAGATTTACATCATGAGCAACATAGACAAGAGATAATAATAGAGCAACATACAGTAGATCATGGCAGCAAGGAGACGGAGCAATGTGTTGGTTTGTGTGGAAACACTTTGGATTTTTAAAAAGGAAATCGTCTTGAGAGGGCGGTTGCCATGTGTAGCCTTTGCAAATGCCGATTGAAATGAAACACGAACATGACTTTGTCGATGAGTCTTCGCCGTCGCCGTGGCATCCCAAACAGCAACAAAACTCAAGGAATCAGCAGCGGCACAGAGCAAAAAGGTGTTGCTGCCTTATTTATTCAAAAACTTGATCATAAATCTCCTCGTGCTCAAAGAATTACTTATCACTGCAGGGCACCCAGTGAAATATCTTCCAGACCACGTTGATATTTTTGAAAAAGAATATGCAAGCCGTTGGCAAAATTGTTTACTGTTACATACAGTTATACTTTAAACGTAACAATCACATCAGGAGGCTTGTTTAATGTGAAAATCGACATGTTTCATAATTGCGTATATTCTTTTGTAAAAAGAGAATGTTGAATATTGTTCAAATATATGAAACATTTTATCAAAAGGGCTAGTTTACACCGATCATTTAATTTTATTTGAAAATAAGTTCATTCTGATAACAAGGGAAACTAGTGTATAAAAAGAACGAACTCCAACTGTTTCACTTAGTTTATGCAAGAATATTAAGAGAACTTGCTTGTTCTGATATCAATCCTGCTGTTTTTTGTACATTTTACTGTCAGTAAAGCTGAGGTTTTTTTAAAAAAAAAATAAAATCAATGGAAATGGCATTCCATTGTATTTAATTGAAGTTATTGTTAATTGGTATAGGGTTGTTTTTTTTTGCAGAAAGCCATTGTTAACAGATTGAAATGTGTGTGCGTGTGTGTGCGTGTGCGTGTGCGTGTGCGTGTGTGTGTGTGTGTGTGTGTGTGTGTGTGTGAGAGTGTGTGTTAGGGGATAATGTAATGGTAGTCTTTTAATTAAGTATAGAATTGTACTTAAAAATTTACATCCCAATGCAGAGGACGTAAAATAAGTGAAATATTGGTGGAAAATCTGTTTGATGACTGAAACCAGTCGGGGATGTCGTTATTTTTGTCACTGCTGTCAGTGACTGTGATATTTTAAAACGCTTTAAATTTTAATTTGAATCACATTTACAATAAAATAAATTTGCTTGATCACTCGTGTTCTTTACAGAACGGTTACACACCTTACTTCTGCCAAGATATGTAAACCTATGAGGGCAATTCTAATTGAAAACTCTTTGAAATCGACTGGTCACACAAGGACAAGAAAGTACAGTACATCGCCTCGAGCTGTGGTGCGGAAAGAGCGTAACTTTAGTAAATTGCCTCTTATTTTTGTGACCTCTTACCTGAGAAACAGCGACAGTCTCCAGACGAGTAAGAAAACTCCAGCAGAGTAGTTCTTGCTCTTCATCGCTCCGGCGACGTTCGGACGGACCCGTCCTGCCTCCTCGCGGCTTTTGGAGCTTTCAGCACCGCAAACACCGCTCATGAGTCTGGCTGTAATGTAAAGAACGCTCAAAACATGCTACGCAAACCGGAGACTCCCCGAATTACATGGTTCGGTTATTTCAAGTCAAAGAATGACATAGTGTATAAAAAAATTATGCCGGTTTACAAAAAGCGGTTAACTAGAAAAAGAAGGACCAGTGCGCTCATCCCAGCTCTTCTAGCTCAGCTCTGGCTTTGTGTAGTGGCCCATCGAAAGCACCGTGCCAGAGAGATCCGCCTCCCTCCCTCATCGGGAGGATGATTGACCGTCCGCTAAACCAATCATCTTGTCTCGTTTAACCCAAATTGAATAGCATCTGAAACTCCAGCGAAGTGGAGCTAATTCAACACACACCGTTGGATGCATCGTCTCCTCTGTATGCGTCCCTGTGGCTCTCCATCCGACTGCCCTGACATCTTCCCCCTGTTTCTTTCCATGTGTTTCTTCCTCCATCTGGCTCAAACACACTTTATTATTCTGCTCTGCTGGGCAGAATTACATTGAGACGCATGTGGCTCATATTCCCTGTCGTGAAGTCACCGAAGTTTATGCAAGTTTGCCATATGTGGCCAAAGTGGGCGTTGGGAGAGAGGAGAAGTTGATTGAAATTATCGTAAATTTACAGGCCGATTTCTGTTGATTGAATTTAAGCTTAAGTTAAAAAAAATACCCCCAGGTATGAAAATATTTGGGGTCTCCAATATAAGTAGAAAATCAATAAGCTTGTGTAAACTATAAAGAAACTCAGGAAAGGCAACATATAAGTTTGGAGAGAGAATAAACAAGAATAGTCTATTTTTGAAAATTTTTGGTGTGGAATATTTATGCGCTCTCTCGAAAAAAGTAAAAAAAAAAAAAAAAAAAGCACACTCTGAAACCTACCAAAAGTTTTTCAAAACCAGAAGTATTTATCAATTTTGATTGTCAATTACTGGCACACAGTGGACATTGGACTTAAATGTCATTTTAATTTGTTCCGTCATCCGAGGCATAAAAAAAAATCGAAATTTTTGGTCGAAAACCGAATTAGTTGAGAACCGAGACGTTCGAAAACCGAGGCTTGACTGTATGTGAAATTGCAATAAAGTTTCTGGGGTGGAAATTATTTTTATTGCTAATATTATAGGTGTTATTAATATTGCTAATAAATAGACAATAATAATAATAATAATGATGCATTTTATTTTAAAGCGCCTTTCATGCCACCCAAGGACATTGTACAGACAATAAGAAAATACAATGTAAAAATTTGTAAGTGAGATATTATATAAAAAACAGGACATAAAATCATAAAAAAACATAGGGAATGGAAGAGCTATGTGTTGTAGGCAATCCAGAACAGGTGTGTTTTTAGACGGGACTTGAAAGTGGAGAGAGATGTGCAGTTTTGGAGGTCCGGAGGTAGATTGTTCCAAAGCTTTGGAGCAGGGCGACTGAAGGCTCGAGCTCCCATAGTGCTCAGGCGGGCAGGGGGCACTGACAGGTGAAGGGAGGACGAGGATCTGAGGGAGCGAGTGGGGATATCCACCTGGAGAAGGTCGGACAGGTAAGGAGGGGCCAGGTTGTGGATGGCCATATATGTATGTAGGAGTCGTTTGTAATTGATGCGATGTTGAACAGGAAGCCAGTGGAGCTGTTGGAGTACGGGGGTGATGTGCTGCTGGGAAGATGTTTTTGTGATGATGTGAGCAGAGGCGTTTTGAACCAGCTGGATTTTATGGAGGGACTTTTGAGGTAGGCCGAAGAGGAGAGCGTTGCAGTAATCAAGGCGGGATGTGACAAGACTGTGGACAAGAATAGCAGTGGTGCGGGGGGTGAGGGAAGGGCGAAGTCTGGTAATATTGCGGAGGTGGAGATAAGCAGTGCGGGTGATGGTGTTGATATGTGGGTGGAAGGTGAGCATGCTATCCAGGATGACACCCAGACCCTTGACCTGGGGGGAGGGGGACACTGAGGAGCTGTCGATGTTGAGGAAGAAACCGTTTACTTTAGATAAAGTGGATTTGGTGCCAAGAAGGAGGATTTCAGTTTTATTAGCATTTAATTTAAGAAAGTTTGTTGTGAACAATGTTTTGAGTTCGGAAAATACTGCAAACAATACTGCATTGACTGACATATACAGACTGGATGAAAGCAAATTATAAAAGTACTGCATCCCCTTGCACTCTTCCTCTTACGAAAATAATCATTTATCAGTGATGGTGAGTCTTAGCGAAACTGATTGAAACCATTTCAGTGATCATGCCACAGAGGGCCACAGCGAAAAAGTGGGGAAAGTGTTGCAGGGATGCAGACGAGGACGAGTGACAGATTGGCATGTTAAAGATGACAAGGAACATTAGAGACAGCTGTATTTTGAACCCTTCCCCTTCATCGCGCCATCCTCATCATCCTAATGTGAAAGATATGAATTAGACATTAGGTTCTGGCTATGACAGAGTAGCATGGTGAAATTTTTAACATTTTATGTCAGCTGTCTACTACTCCACATACCTGCTCTGATCCAGCTATCCAAATTCTGTAAGGTCACCTTCAACATGCACACCAATTCAATTATAAGATAATATCTAGGCTTAATGTCATTTAATATGCTCTATGTACATACACACCAGTGGCGGATGCTGGTCTGTCAAGGAGGGGAAGCTCAATTTTGGCCGACATCATAAAATGTGTCCGTTTATATAAACGCGAATTCTACTCTCCTTTCCTTTTCAAGAAAATTATCTGTGACCCTGGCATATCAACAAGGCATCTTTTCCAGGAACTTAACTCGTGTCCGACAACTACAGCAACTACAATAAAACCCACCAGTAATAAAAGATGAATTCGTCGCTTATCGTTTTCAACAAAGAGAGTGTCACTAAAATGATTAGAAGTCGTCTCCAGTTCAACTTGGAACAGAATGAGAATTGAAAGTGCTCCCACGGATGCCAACACTAAAAGATCGGTGATTGGCTCATTTCGATGTCAATCAAACTGGAACACAGGCTCAGACAGATCATCCAATCTGATGCAGAAAAATTTAGCATCCGTCACAGAGACGCCGAGCATCCGTGGGCGGGACAAAAACCAGCTTGTATCCAATGACTCGTCTCCGTTCAACGCATTGGGACAACCTACCCTGAACTCTCGAGACGCTCAGCATCCGGGCAGTAGACGCTCTGCAGACGCTCACCATCCACCGTTTAAAGCACAGCAAAGCTGCGGGAATGAATGAGAAGGGAGTCGCGTCGTAACCAGTAAGAAGAAGCTGATTCGGAACAAAAGTTGAGCACCTTGTAGCGCATATTTAATCAATGACATGTACAACAATGAAATTTACATTCATATATGTTTGATCACTTATTCTTTGACGTTTTAGGGGAAGCTGAGCTTCCCTTGCAGTCCGAGAGCAATCGCCACTG